TCCTGCAGATTTTAATAAGCTCTACCACCATCCTCATTACAGAAAGCTATTAAAGTTATATAATAACATTACTATGTGTGGCGTAATGAGATGTACTATTAAAAACTCACTTTGTTCCTTTGGTGTATGACTCAGAAAGTAATTTTTACCCCTCCTTGTTAACAACATAAAGTGCCCTGCTTGAGATTGATTCCAACAGTAAAAACGTTAATATCAAAGTGCATCAGTCTCACACAGGATGCTCGGTCTCTCTGCTCGTGTTAAGTTTAAATCCAGCTTTATATTGTTTCCGCTGTGTGAAATATTCCCTTCCGATTGCAGTATAGGACAGGCGGCGTGTGCAAGCGGGAGCTCCCTGCTCGCTCTCTGAACGGGATAATGGTGATGCTCACGCCTGGATTTTTAATTATCCGCTTTAACGAGTGGAAGGAAATTGCTGCGTGCCCGGCTTGTTTTGGAGGCAGGTGCGATGGCTTCGGCAGAGCAAGCGAGCGAAGACGGCACCTTTTACTCAACTCTGATGCTCTTGTGACAAATTATCCGCAAAAGCATTTCATCCCGAGCTTTTAACAGTTTGTGCTTTGGCTAAACGAAAGGAAATTTTGCAAATTGAGCAGATGCGGGAGCAGCGTTAAGGTTTTAATTAGTGTTGGCTTATCAAGGAAATGCCTCTGTTTATCTCTGAGGATGGAGCTCACCATGCAAGATGTAGGATTTCAATTGAAGTGGAAAATTTAATTAAAACTTTTATCGGTCTCGGTTGTGATATTTCCAAATATAGAGCTAAAACTGAATTCCTAAATAAAACTCTAAACTAGATGGCAGCTTTGCTGCCTAAATACTGCTAAATTGGATCCTGTGAGATGAGGTTTTGTGAAGTTTTACTGTTGGTGATGTTGATTGGAGGACAGTCTGTTTCCTACTTCGGCAGTTCGTCACCAAATCATTCATTGGAAGGAATGAAAGGATAAGACAGAACAGATCGAACCCAAACACATAAAGGCATCAGCAGTGGATCTTTCTTTTAGCAAAACAACCTTCATAGCGAAGGAAGTCTAAAGGCATCAGTGGGTTGGGCCAAACTTGGACCAAGTGCCGTATTTTCCGGACTATAAGTCGCACTTTTTTTTCATAATCTGGCCGGTCCTGCGATTTATATACCAAATTATGTAGGCTATGCCATGCTGCTGTGGGCCGGTGTTGTGCCATAAATTGATTGGCTGCCAAAAAATGATTAGCCACCACGGGATCGCGCACGGTTAGGGTAATTGCATTTCTAGACGAAATTCCCCAGGATTTCGCCTTAAAACTCAGCATATCTAGCAATATGGACGTTGAGAAAGCAGAGATAACCTCGTCCGGTACTTAAACAGATGTTTATCACGGATATTAGTTTTTCCAGTTCGGAAGTTGTTTTAAGTATTGCTATTTGTCTTAAACGTTCACAATGATGATATATTAATCCTTTTTGCAATATTTGCCCTGTACATTATGAAGCTGCTAAAAATACTTTAATTAGTTGTGTTTATAGAGCACCAGGATCATGTATTGGGACATTTAATGAAAAAATTATTGAATTGGTTGATCACATTAAATACAAAAGATTATTTCTATGTGGGGACTTTAATATTAATTTAGAACATGAGATTGGACAGATAACTAAGGATTTTGCAGATTCACTGTATAGTGCAGGTTTATTTCCCTTGATAAACAAGCCAACTAGAATTACATCTCAGACTGCAACAATCATTGATAATATATTCACCAACAATAAGGATGATGTCAGGAAAACAGGGATATTAATGACGGATATTAGTGACCACCTATCTGTTTTCGCAGTCTTCAAATACAAACATTCCATAAAACAAAACATCACCATGAACTACAGAAGAGATAAGTCAGTTAAAGCCATGGAGGCATTAAACAAAGATCATAATAAACAAAATTGGAAGGAGGCATACGTCAGTGATGTCAACGCTGCATACACATCCTTCATGAAAATACTGTTCAAGTCATATAATGATAACTGCAAATTAATCAGATCTACAGGTAAAAGGGAAAATCAACCTTGGATTACTAAGGGATTAAAGAATGCGTGTGCAAAAAAGAAAAATTTATATAGGAGTTTATTTTTAAATTGCAAACAAGGGAAGCAGAAGATAGATGTAAAAAATATGAAAATAAATTGGTAGCAATAATTAGGAAGCAAAATAAAAGATTATTATGGTAATCTATTGAATCAGAATAAAAATGACACAAAAGCTACTTGGGGAATAATAAACAGTGTGATTAATAGAGAGAAAACAAAATCCAGTATTCCAAATCACTTTGTCAAGGACAAAAAAGATATTTATGATAATAAAGAAATCACTGATGAGTTTAATGATTTTTCTGTAAATGTAGGTAGATGGAGAACAAACCAATAATAGAAGATAAATTGACAACAATGATTAGTACCATCAATAGTAATGTCCTTGACAAAGTAGATAAAGAAGAAATATGAAACATTGTAAAAAACTGTGGAAACAAACGATCAACCGATTATCAGGACCTGGACATAACTGTTAAAACGGTCATAGAATCTGTCATTGAACCATTCACTTACATTTGTAATCCATCACTTTCTACTGGAAATTTTTCCTGACACAATGAAAACAACGAATGCCATTCCTTTGTATAAGAGTGGTGACAAACATAGTTTCGATAATTACAGGCCGGTGTCACTGCTTCCACAGTTTTCTAAAATATTGGAAAAAGTATTTGTATCAAGGTTGGATAAATTCATCGAATAAAATAATATTTTAAACAATGATCAATATGGGTTTAGAACTAAACATTCCACAGCAATGGCAATAATGGAATTAACGGATAAAATATCAACAGCAATTGACAATAAAAATGACTTTGTTAGTGTTTTCATTGATTTGAAAAAAGCTTTTGACGTCATTGATCACTCAAGGTTACTTCGAAAATTAAGTCAGTATGGAATAAGAGGTGTGGCTCATCAATGGGTTAAAACTTATTTAGAAAAAGGGAAACAGTTTGTTCAGATAAAGGACCATAAATCAAAACTATGTGAAATTAATTGTGGAGTGCCACAAGGGTCGGTCCTCGGACAAAAACTGTTCATTTTGTTTATTAATGACTTGGTAAATGTATCTAAGACACTCGGTACCATTCTATTTGCAGGTGATACAACACTGTTTTACTCAGGATATATTGAGGAGGTGGCTAAAGTGATAAATGATGAACTGATTAAAATTAAAAACTGGTTTGATATAAATAGATTGACACTGAATCTTAATAAAACAAATTTTATACTGTTAAATGATAAAAAAAACTGTGATGTGGCACTGGAAATAGATGGGATTGCAATTCAAAGAGTAAAAGAAACTAAATTTCTTGGAGTTCTTCTTGATGAAGACTTGACATGGAAATCCCATATTAGTTACATAAAAGGTAAAGTTGCCAATTCCTCAAGTTTTTACCGACTAATTCTGGTTTGTTGGCATTGCACAATTCACTGATTGTTCCATACTTGATTTACTGTGTAGAAATCTGGGGAGCAACATACAAAAACTATACACAACCCTTATTTATTTTACAGAAAAGAGCTCTGAGAATCATCAATTATAGTGGCTGTAGAGATACATCAAACCCATTGTTTATTAAATATAAATTACTGAAATTTCATGATTTAAAAGACTGGAAAATCTGACAAACCATGTATAAAGCCAATTTAGGTACTCTGCCAACAAACATTCAGGGGATATTTGAAAAGAGAACTAGTAATTACATGCTGAAAGAAACTGATGTGTTTACAAAACCTAGACTTAGAACTACAATTAAGGAATGGAATATATCTGTAAATGGTGTTAAATTATGGAATAACCTTATAAGGAAAATAAAAAAACTGTCATTTAGTATATTCAAAAAATGTACCAAATTGAGTTTATTAAATAATTATGAAAATGTAAACTCAATCAATGATCATGATCGCACTGGAATTTAGAACAGGAAAACGTTTAAAATGAATCTGGATTCAATTCAATTCAATTTGAAAATACTTTATTAATCCCAGAGGGAAATTGATTGCTGTAGTAGCTCAGAATAATAATAATAATCAAGTCATCAACGAGTTGTTGTATATTACAATGGTTGTTGGCAGGAAGGATCTCCAGTAGCGGTCAGTGTTGCAGCCAAACTGAAGAAGCCTCTGACTGAAGACACTCTTCCGTTGTCGGACAGTCTTGTGAAGAGAATGCTCAGGGTCTGACAAATGGTAATTAATTATAAATTGATTATTTCTACTGGAAAAGGGGGCAGAGATTATAAGATGTTTTTCTTCATTCTGCTCCTTTTCGTTCAAATTAGATTTTTTGTTATGTATTTCATATTGTTTAAATGTTTTATTTATTTTTATTTTGAATGAAATAACGAAAAAAATAATATTTAACATACAAAGCAAAAATAATCAGTCAATTATCATATAGATAGTAAACACTTGAACCAAAACAGGAAATTGATGTTAACCTTTGACCTCATTTTCCACCTTCAAACAAGTGAAAGGTAGCACTAGTGGTAAAATGGATCGGTTTTTGTTGCCCAAATTTCCACGTGTTCAGTCAGAAACGAATGAATCTTTGGAAATGATCTCAGACCCACAGAAACCTACGGATCTGGATGAAGAGAATCATCCATCTTCGCTGCGGCGGTCGAGGGTTGATTGTTTCAGGTGTTGTTGAGGTTTTGTGCATGCATGTGTATCTGCTAGTGTCGAAGGTGTTTTAGAGAACAATAGGTAGGTATGACCACTTCCTTCATAGCACCCTCAATAAAAAGACTAGCTCCTTCATAGCACCTGCAGAAAAACATTTCTGGAGCCGCCACTGAATCCATCCACCAAACCCACTGTTGGTCTTTCCACTGGGACTGGTAATAAACAGAAGGGTTAAGAACACTAATGTGAGAAAAACCTGCTTTTGTTTCTCTTTGACCAGGTCCCCCAGGATGAGTGGGCGGGCTATCCCGGCGGTGGGAAGGACGATGAGATCCCCTGTCGTAGGATGCGGAGCAGCAGCTATGTTAAAGCCATGGGGGACGAGGAGAGCGGAGAGTCGGACTCCAGCCCCAAGACCTCACCGCAGAAGTCTGTGCGGCCAGACGCTCTGGTCAAAGCCATCATCAGACCCAAGGACCTGCTGGACTCTCAGAGGTACGATTCCTACAGAAAAACACGCTGCTCCTTTTATCTTTGGCCTTTTTTCTGGTCTGTTTTGGTTACACGGTCAGTTCTGTCCGACTCGGTCAGGTTTTGTGTTTTAACGGGACTTTTTACTTCCTACCACTAAAGTGTGCCAAGCTGCAGCTCCACTATTTAAACTCAGTCAAGTCATAAAGATAAACCAGAGATACATATAGCATAGCATAGCATAGTTTATTTATATAGCACATTTAAAATGCAGCATGGGAGCTGCCCAAAGTGCTGCACAGGCTAAAACAAAACACACCCATTACAAGGAGCTAAAACAAAGGATAAAAATCTCAATTAAAAGCAGAGAAAACATGAATAATAAGAGCAGATTAAAACAATGACACAATGAAACACTAAAACGAGTCACTGTCTAAAAGCCAAAGTGTAAAAGTGGGTCTTTAAACGAGATTTAATAACCGCCAGAGATGGAGCCTGCCGAACTCCAATGGGCAATGAGTTCCATAGCTTTGGGGCAGCATGGACAAATGCTCGGTCCCCCCGCGATTTGAGTCTCATCCGCGGCGTGTGCAGCAGCAAAAGGTCAGCCGACCTTAACGAGCGGGTGGGCACATATGGAGTGAGAAGGGCAGAGAGGTAGGAAGGTGCCAGGTCATTGAGTGCTTTAAAAACAAAAGTCAGTAACTTAAACTGCACTCTGAAAATGACAGGGAGCCAGTGAAGATGTGGCAGGACAGGGGTAATGTTGCTACGTCGGTGTGTACCCGTCAAGAACCTGGCAGCAGCGTTCTGAACAACCTGCAGCCGATTCAGGGCAGTGTCCGGAACACCAGTGAGGAGGGCGTTTGCATAGTCCAGGCGAGAGGTAATGAATGCATGAATGACTGACTCCAAATGCCTCCGTTTCAGGATTCGTCTGAGGTGAGTAAGGCGGCGAAACTGATAAAAACAAGACCTCACTACAGAGTTTATTTTATAAAACGTTCCAATAAACATGATAAATCAAGGTTTGAGTAACTAATCCGTTCACTGTGGTATTCTTTGTGTGATCCTGTTTAATGTGTTTTATCTCAGCTCTCTGGGGGGTCGCTTTCCAGCCATCTCTTATTCGATCATGAACACCTTCCTCTCTGCGTTGGTAGTTTTCATGATTCATGAACGATCCCAGCATCACCAGGACCAAGCTGCTGCTAGCTCATCCCGTCCCATATTAGAAACCGTTTTAAACATTAAACAAAGTAGTAATTTATTATATTCCTTTTCTTTTATCCCTAATGGCACTCTTTTCTTTCTGTTTGTAGCTAAATGTGAATGTAGAGTTGCTTATTCATTACTAAGAAAAGGTTTAAACGGCGTTAAAAAGGTCTGACTGAAATGAAAATATTATTGTCGTTATTATTATGAGCAGCAAAAGAAATGGCAAGAATAAACCTTTTGCACAAAGTGACGTTTAGAATTATTTTTGTTTTATTTCTTCTCTTCAGTCACATAAGAACCTGCTAACGTCTTTGTTCATTAGTGTAGAGACCCATATAAATAACATCATTTGCATCTATACTCATGCATGGTCTTGTGTTCCCACAGGACCATCCAGAAGACATTTCTATACAGCGTGTCTGCATTATGCATAAGTTGCCTTGTGCTTAAATCACCTGTTGGGTGCGTTAAGTATGCTGACGTATGGAAGCACATTGCCGTCAACGCGAGGAAAAAATGTAGAAGCGGTATCTCGTAATAACGAGAACGTCTGTCATTAAGATGAGATAGAAGTCTTATTTTAACAATAAACTTTTTAGTAACAGTGATTTGTAAAGGTTGTTTTATTGAGTTTCTCGAAATGGCACGTTTGATATCTCGTAGTAACGAGATATCGTTGAAGTGACACAATGACATCTTGCAGAATGTCGTCCAGAAGAAAAAAAAGGGAGAAGATTTAAGAAGCAGTAACTTGTCAGAGGAACACATTCGTCCACTTTGAAAACTACGGAGAAAGCAGCCCTCAGTTGGATTTGCAGCCCTTACATTTTCTAGTCAAGGGGAAGTTTTCAAAGTAAAAGTTGACTTCCTGTTATTGACTTTTTACATTTAAAAACTTACCGTAATTTCCGGACTGTAGAGCGCACCTCAATAAAAGCCGCTCCGGGGTAAAAGCCGCAGATATCTTCTGAATTGAAAACGTAGTTTAACTGAACGTAGCTGAACTGATCAGTATCAAACAAAACAGAAAAGTGATTAGTTCGTTCATCGTCCTCCTACGCACTGAAAACACTGAAGTCATCTTCGTCAGTGTCGGAGTTGAACAGCCTCAGAAGAGCTTCGTCACATACCTTTTCTGTGGCGACGTCTGTGTCGCTGTCCGTGTTGCTGTCATCATCCCGGCGTGGAGCTGGGAAAACAAGCAGCGCCGTTTTACTGTGAAAAATATCCTCCTGGGTGCTTTCCGTAGCACTCCTTTAACCATTCCTTCATTCGACTTTCCAGCATCCATCCTTTCTGGTTGACTAAAGCCGCACCTCATTATAAGCCGCATGGTTCAAAGCGTGGGAAAAAGTAGCAGCTTATAGTCCAGAAAATACTGTGTTGAGGGTCTGACCTCATGAGGAAATTACTATGCACTGATTTTCTCCAAAATGACTGTGCTTAAATTGGTCTGAAAAGCAAATAATCACATCAGCGCCAAGAAACTTCATTTCCCATGATGCTTTGCACACGGAAGCATTGGGATGATGTCACCGCCTAATACCAGAAACACGTTCTGCGGGAGGCGGGAGCTCATGGACGCTTTCCCGCGAACTCAAGCTATAAATCATCAACAAAGACAAAGAAACTTCGTTCTTTTGCCCAGGATACCTGGCGGTAAGGACACGCTTGTCGAACGCTCCGACAACTTGAGCACGCGGAAGCTCTAAGTGCCCAAGTTGAGCCACGCAACCGCTGGAAACCACTCCAACTCCATCGGGACCTGACTGGGAACGAGCGGAGCTCCATCCAGCTCTCAGAGACGCTGTAAGTTGTCAAACTCAGCACAAAAGAAACTTCGTTCTCTTTGTGTCCAGCCCGTGGAGAAACACTCCCGGAGAACGCCAAACAACGGAGAAAGCATCAAACCGACGGACGACGCCGAAAGCTGCGGAGAAACACGGAGAACCGTCAAATCAAACAGTGAGGGATGCTTCACTGTTCTGGTGATCAGAAACTCATCTCCTTCTCTCTCTTTCCTTCTTCCGTTTCCTCTATAGTCCAGAATAAGCAATAAAACCGCGCTATTGCTTAAAAGTAGCTTCGTGTTTTCCTCTTTTGTCCCAAACACGTCCGTCGGGTCATTTTGAATAAATAAACTGCTTATTTATCATTGTTTGAATATCTTTAAACGTTTCCTACTATGGCCAAGTGGTGAAACTAAAAGATATTAACTTGTGATTAATCTTTTGTGTTGTTTCATGATCCTTTGAAATGTTTTGAGTGATTTAAGGTTAAGTTACTACTGATTCTAAGTGCCTTGGAAGTTAAAGTGCAAGTTGCCACCCACACTTTAGCCAGACAAAGGGGTCAGCCATCTTGTATACAGACTCCATTTTAGAAATACACACACACATACATACACACAAAACACCTTGAACATTATTTTGAATATACATCCTTTTATTATATCACATGGTTATTATTCATTTATGCCACTGTTTATTCATTTGACAAATTGTTAATCAAACGTTATAAAATTCAGATTTTCGTCTCCAGTAGCTTTGTTGTGTCGAAGAGAAGTCTCTGCTCCGAGGATTCTACGAACTTCAAGAAAGACTGATAAGAGTTTTGGATTCAATTTTTCCCCGGTTAAAGGGGAATGGTGCCCCGTATATCTAAGAATATCTTAATTAATTAATAAATCAGTAAATATTCCCATATTTACAGAATTTATTGAAGAATCCAAAAGTAAGTTAACGCTTACTAATTGTTCGCTCCTAATAACCCCAACAACTGTAAATGAAATCTTTTTACATCAACAAAATGATACGTGTAAAAAGTATGCCCCGATATTACATTAGACTTTGTGTGTGTGTGTGTGGGGGGGGGGGGGGGGGGGGGGGAATTCTGTGGGTGTTTTTGATGCTTTTAGATTGTTCCTCTTAAATACAACCTCTCACAATGACGGAGCTGTCAGTCTGTTGCCTTGGCAACGGGGTGTGCATGGCAGAGAAAGGAGCTAACGATTGTTTTTGCGCATTTCTGCACCGTTGTTAGCTGCTTTTCCTCTCACTGTTGTGGCGCTGCTGCGGTACATCCTTAAAGAGCAAGTCACCCCCAAATAAACTTTTTTTTGCTGATAAACTATATAAACGAGTGTCTAATCGTGCTGCAGACACGTGTCGTCAATAATTTGGCACTTCAGTGCATCTTAGTTAAAATTTAAAGAGCAAGTCAACCCCAAATCACGTTTTTTTGCTGATAAACTATATAAAGGAGTGTCTAATCATGCTACAGACACGTGTAGTCAATAATTTGGCAGTTCAGTGCATCTTGGTTAAAATTCAAATATTCTGCCTAAAACTGTCAGTGTTGCGCCGTCGTCAGGGAAAAATTCTGCACTTTATTTGAATTTAAATCTGCCATCGCTATTGGCTAAGAGGTATGCTATGATGTCATCTGGTATATTATGATGTCATAATGCCATTGTGAGCCTGTGTGTGTGTATTTGTTAGCGGCTCCGCCCTCTCGGTCTGCCAAGCAACAGCATTTGTTGCATTTTTCAAACATGAAGTGGGAGTGAAGTAAGTTTATTGTAGGGGGTGACTTGCTCTTTAAATATTCTGCCTAAAACTGGCAGTGTTTTGCCGTTGTCAGGTAAAAACTGCGCTGTATTTTTATTTAAATCTGCCACCACTATTGGCTAAGAGGTATGCTATGATGTAAACTGGTACATTATGATGTCACAATGCTGTCGTGAGCCTGTGTGTGTGTGTATTTGTTAGCAGCTCCGCCCTCTCGGTCTGCCAGTTAACAGCATT